CTGATCGTGTTGATCTCAACATGCTTCCAGCCCTCCCCGGCGGTCGGCATATAATCGGCGCGAAGGACGCCGAGCATGAGGGGCTGGTAGACCTTCCCAGGGCCCCCGGCGTCGAGGTAGACGTCCTCGAGGATCCGCAAAAGACGCCCGGTGAAGTGGGGGTCCGTCGCGCCGACCGGGCGGAGGGCGTGGTGGAGAAAGGCAAAATCTCGCGCGCCGCGGTCGACCGCCTCATTCCACAGACGCTGCCGGGCAAAAAGCTCCTGCAGGCTCGCGCGCGGGATGACGTACGGGCTCAGCGTCGTCCCGACGTGCGTGATCGCGTCGGCGGAGCGATACCGCACAAGGCCGAGCTCGAGGCACTTGTCGAAGAGCTCCTCCGCCGTCGGGAGGGTCGCCATCCAATCGTCCATCTCGGGGGAACCCGGCGGGGCTACTGGGGCGAGGATCGCTTTCGTCGGGGTTGGGGTATTCTGAGGCGGGGCTCCCGGTAAAGAGTGCGAACGCCGCGATGTCGTGAAGGCGACGGAGCAAGAATAACTGAGAGGTAACCCAACGCCGGCACGAAGCATAAACACCTATACACACTCACACACACACACACACGCACACACTTTCCTTATGTTGTTGTTCCTTTCCTTTGATGTTTGCGTGTCCTAAAATTATACATTTAAGAAGGAGAGGAGCCAATATGTACACCTTGCGCCACACATTGAATCCATTCGCCCAAAGCCACAGCAATTTCTAACGCCTACCCATCCATCCGGATCTAGTTTGAACCAATCCTTTTTCTTAGCTTCCTACTCGTGTGCACCTCAGTGGTTTGATAGGAGATGCACACCGCGCAAACAATCGAATGAACGCCATCGGGTTCCTTTTACAACGGCACTATTGCCTATAAAAACCATCCATTGATGGGGTCCGTAGGGGGGTAAAGGATTCCATCTATACTAGGCATACAGTTTAAATCTCTATGGTGAATAGATCTAACGGACAAAAAAAAACATACAATCCACACCTGCTAATCCAACGTCTATGCGTGCATCCCTCAACGCCCTATGAGGTATGTTATTGTGTTAAGTAAAAAAATCCAATCTACTATCAAATTACTCTTTGTAAAGTTAGTGTCATCATTCTTATAACTTTCCTTTTTTTTTTCTCCCCTCCTTTTTTTTACAGTTCTCCTAGAGAAGTCCCGGAGTGGACCTCGGCGCTGAACGGGACGTCCAGATTCATTTCCGGCCAGAGGTCGCCGATTACCTGCTGGGTGTTGTCCATCACCGTCTGCAAGTCCTCCTTGACCTGGTCCACCACCGACTCATGGGCGTCCACCCAGACGCAGTCGTGCACGGTGTTGACCAAAAAGGCCTTTTCGTTGTAATTCCGCGTCGCGTAGAACTTGCGGAGGATGACCCCGGTCATGATTTGGACGATCTCGCCCGCGAGGCCCTGGACGGGGTAGTTTTTGAGCCGCGGGATGCTCTTGCGGTCCCTGGTGAAGTCGAATTTACTGCCCGTGGGGACGACAAAGTAGTAGAGCGGCTCGGTGAGCATGACCATCCGGCGGAGGTTCGCATTCCAGCCCGGCGCGTCGAGGCCGCGGAGCCGCATGACGCGATCGGCGCCGGCCTCGACGCAGTCCATCACGACGTTGTAGTAGCGCGCGAGCTCCTTGTAGTGGCGCTCCTCCGCGGTGATAAGGCGCTCCACCTCCGGCTCCGTCAGGCCCGTCGTCGACGCGATGGTGGCGACCCCGGCGCCGTACTGGCGCTGAAAGGAGAAGACCTTGGCCTGCTGGCGGAGCTGGATGTAGTGGGGGTCCTTCAGGACCTTCACCTTGTGCGCGATGGCGTCGTAGGGCTCCTTCGTCATGAGCGAGACCCGCAGGCAGTGGAAGTCGACCTGGTCCCGCATCTCCTGCATCATCCGCGGGTCCCGGCAGAGCGCCGCGAGCACGACCACCTCGAGCTGGCGGTAGTCCGCCTCGATCATCCGGCCGGCGGCCCCGAAGCGGGAGCGAATCAGCCGCCGGAGGTCCTCCTCCTTCGGGATGTTCTGCAGGTTCGGCGACTGCGAGGAGAGCCGGCCGGTGGTGGTCACGCAATGGCAGAACTCCCCGTGCACGCGGTCGTGCCCCTCCGGCAGGACGGCGCGGAAGAGGCAGCCCTCCTCGAAGAGCTGGAGCTTCTTCTCCGTAAAGCGCAGCCGCTGCAGGGCCGCGAGGAAGGAGAGGTCGATCTCCTTGTACGGGGCGAGGAACCCCGTCAGCCGCTCCACCGCGTCGGCGCCGGAGCTGGCGGGGCGGCCGCGGAGGAAGGCCCGCAGGACGGGGTGGAGCCCGGGCGGCGTCGCCAGCCAAAGCATCCCGGGCGTCGAGGCGGCCTCCTGCCCGTGCTGGCCGCGGGGCCCGGTGGAGGGGAGGGGGTGGGTCACCCGGAACGGGTCCCGCGGCGTCCCCGCGAGCGACGCGCAGTGCGAGATGAGGCCCCCGCATGACCCCCTCGAGCCCGCCGAGCGCGAAGGCGTCGCGGGTGAGGGCGGCCCAGAGCGCGCGCGCGGA